ACACACACACACACCACACACCCACACACACCACCACACACACACACACACACACACACACACACACACACAAGTCATTACTGAGACACACATGCATAAACACAGCTGATGGGCAAATGTAAACGGACGAGCACCTTGGGGTTCTTGTTTTCTTTAGCCAATAAAGCTCGAAGTCGTTCCTGGGAGGGCGGAGCTATGAAGATGATGTAAGGCTTCAAGTCTGAACTCCTCAGCACCTTCAGAGCCTGGAAACACAGACAGACACACACTCTATGTCATGTATAAAACAAGCAAACAGTGGAGAAAGCTCTTCAGCACAGGTGTTCCCAGGTATGAACACCATGGCTTTCTGCAGGTGTACCCGGTCACCTCCACAGAGCTCCCATTAGCTCGCTGGCTCAAAGCTGAGCTGCTCTGCGGACCTGCAGCATCTGAACAGCTCACATTCATACTTCAGTGTCTGTATATCAGGATCACCTGCACCGCAGTGCAAACGAGGTCCGTTTGTGATGAGTGCAGCTTGTGTAATGTGGATCATCAGTGGACATGATGATAAGCTGTTATTTGCATGGAGAGCCTCCGAGGCAGCTGTCTGACACTCTTCCTGTGTCTGTGCCTTTATCTCAATCAGCAGAGTCAGAAACGTAACCCCTGTCCTCTGAGTGCTGGAGCTGCTGCTGAGCCTTCAAAACAGACGTGGTCCTGCTGGCTTCATCAGGAGGGAATCAGCACCTCCGAGTCTCAGCCCACTGTCCTCAGCAAGAAAGGGTGGAGTGGCTACTCCAGGTCAGGGACAAGCTGCTGACCCAGGTGGAGGAGAGGAAGTATGTCGGGGTCTCGTTCACGAGTGAGGGCAGATCGACAGGTGATCTGTTGTGGTGAGTACAGAGCTGAGCATGATGATTAAGTGGTCAATCCACGTCCCCACCCTCACCTATGGTCACGAGCTTTGAAAAGAACAACATCACAATAGGGCTGCACGATTAATCGTTAGAAAATCGCGATCTCGATTCATACTTATGTGCGATCTCATTTCCAAATGACAACGATTTAAAAAAAAAAAAAAAAAAAAAAAAACGACGACGATTGTACCGCATTTTGATCCGGGACGTAATCTGCATGAAAACAAGCGCTCACTCTTCCTGCTCAACAAATGACAAGGGCGGAGCCTTATACCACGTGATACAGAAGCTGTGCCGTGTGATGCTAAAATTAGCAGGGAAAAAACAACGGAGAGCACGTCAGGGATGACGAGAAAGTGACAGGAGAAAATCCGTCCCGGTCAACCACCCAAACATCAATAACGGGAACCTTATACAGCGCTTCCCTATACCCGTCGAACTCCCGCAGGCACAAAGAAATTACGGAGGCTATCACTTATCACCTGACCAAAGATATGGCTCCCATCAACACTGTGCAAAACGAGGGATTTAGGAAAATGATCAACACCCTAGACAAACGCTACACAGTGCCGTCCCGCAACTATTTTTCTATTGTTGCACTACCTGCTCTATACACGCAGCGTCGAGCAACGGTGGAGACGGAATTTCAAGCAGTACAACATTTTGCGGCAACAACAAAACGTGAGACATTTGTTGTTTTTATGTTTATTTATTGTTTTTATGTTCAGTCTCAACTGTTACGAAGTTGATGTGCAGTTAATAAGTGCAATAAATATTTATACTGGAAAAGAAAATCGTGAGAGAATCGTGATCTCAATTCTAAGCCAAAAAAATCGTGATTCTCATTTTATGCAAAATCGTGCAGCCCTAATCACAAATATAAACAGGAAAAATCAGTTTTCTCTGGAGCGTTGCTGGCCTCTCTAAAGAAGCTCGGGGGATGCTGAGCAGAGCTGCGACTAAGGCTGGGCCATATCACACCGTTCATGGTAATACCAGTATAATGTTACGCAATGATAAGAAAATAAGATAACCTTTATTAGTCCCATACGTGGGAAATATGGCGATAGAATACGAGTAAAACATGCATGCGCAGTGCCTTTGTTTACATACGCACATGGCGGAAAAAGCATGGCGGCGACGCAGAATGAGAAGGGCGAAAGCGGATCGTTGAATGAAACAGATGAACCAGAACTGGTTTGTAAAAATGCTGCAGCTTCACTGGTGTGGAACTGGTTTAGCTTTCGTTAGCTTTTTTTGGTAGAGCATGCTAGCGGGCCGTCGTTATTACCGAACTGATTTTATGTCGTATACGGCACTCAAAATCTGTCAAATGTTTTAGTACGACTTTGCTAAGCTACGAAGCCGCACCGCTTGATGGATTGTCGGAGCATTACGGCTATCGTAGGCAGGAGCCTCGCGGAGTGATACGTACTGTGCTTCAACATAATGTTACCGTATTGTGTGTGTATAACCTCTTTTTAAGTTTTGTGGATATTATACATGGTTATGCTGAGGATATGTCGGCCAGTTTCCACTGGAAATGCCTTTTGGTTAAACTGTCAGCAAGGAATTTGCACTGTTACATTTTTATATAACTTTAATGCACATAAAAAACAGCTGCTTGTTTAAGTGAAAATACATTATTAGTGCAAAAACCCCATCAAAGTTGTGGAGTTGTAAAGTATTTTGTCTAGTGTCAATTATATCGTCAGTTTTATTGTTATCGCAAATTTTCAAATGTATATCATGATAAATATTTTTGGCCATATCGCCCTGCTCTAGTTGAAACTCCTCCAAAATGACGAGTTGATGTCTCACTGGGAGGAGATGCTGGAGCAGATCCAGGAGTCACGGGTGAGATTGTAGCTGAGTCCCAATACGTAGGCTGCATCCTTCGGAGGCCAATTACGTCACAGCCAGGTGACGGAGGCTGTCCCAATTTGTCGACTCCTTAGAATTCAGAGCGCGCCAATTCCAGTTTCCAACAATGGCGGCAGCTAAGTTAGTTTTAATATTACTCTTATTATTCTTTCTGGGTCACAAAATAAACGTTTAACATATTTTCAGGCGAGAATGTAGCTGTGTAAACCTCAAATATCTGCTCAGTTTATCAAGACACCACATATTTTCAAAAGCGCTCCGACGTTTTCGGAGACGTCTGTTACCCACTAGCTCGATAGCTAGCCGGGGGCTAGGCTCACTAGAGCTGGCGAGAACGGCACACTCCCGGGAAATCGTTTTCAGATCACCGCCGTCTTTCGCTACTCAGGTTAAACATGATATATAAGTCACTCGATAAACTTAAAAGATGATTAAACAGAAGTGTGAGATGGCCGAGAGTTTACTCCAGTGTCCTGTTATATTTTAGACAGCAAGGAGCAGACGGCTGAGTTTATTAAACTCCACCGAGACAGCGGTGACGCTAATCAGAAGGCTAGACCGTCCAATTTCACAGCCTCGCACTTCCGGCCTTCTCTGTCTTCGAAGGACCCGGCCCACGTAGACCGCGAAGGCCGGGTCCTCAGGAGGATGCAGCCGACGTTTTGGGACACAGCTTGTATCTAACAGCGGCCCGGGGACGACTCTGTGACCCCAGGACGAGCTGGAGGAGGTGGGCGGGTGAGGCAGGTCTGGGCTTCGATGGTTACTGTTGTCACTGTGATTGGAACCCAGATAAGCAGAATGATCTTCATCATGGAAGCACAGAAGCTCAACTCTGAGCTGCATGGTGAGGTCCAACGGTGCATTCACAGGACGTCAGGTAAACTGATGCACTTTGTGCTAATTTATTACATTTTCAATGTTCTCAGGGCTCAGCTCCATCCAGGCTATCACAGAATCGTCCTTGTGCTTGGATGCGCAGACCTTTGGGATAGACTACTTTCTGAAAACACTGCTTCGAACTTTGACCTTCATATACAAGCTGAAAGAAAACATGACGCAGTCCTCTGTCAAAGGATTGTGGAAAGCATGAAACTGAACCTGGGCACATCCACCTCGTTCTGCCTCAGTACACACTCAGAGGATTTTAAAATCAAAGACGTGAATGATTCCAAGGTTTTAGCGACAGTGCCACATTAATCGTCTCTCATTTTCAGAAGTTCAGAGTTCCTCGTGTTTAGCTTCCTCTTTATCACCTGTGAAGTCCTCCCGAGAACTGTTGGAGACAGTTTGTTTTCATTTCCATGAAGAGGAGATAATGTTAATGTAACTCAGAAACATTTACATGTTACATGGTTTTTGGACAGAGGAGCCGCTGAGATGCGTCAGCGCGCCCGTTATAAAACCCTCGAGCCTCAGTCACCAAACGACGACCCCACTCCACAGGTGAGACGCTTCGACTCCCGCTCATCAGGTGAGTCTGATTCTGTCCCTCAGCATGGAGAAAACTTTAGCAGAGGTCACTGTGTGCTGAGCTGTAACAACACCAGTGTGACCTGTGCAGGTGTGCAGAGATCAGTCCGATCTGAACTGATGCTCTTCATTCCAGCTTCATGTTGCTGCAGGCTGGAAAGCAGCCATGATGGCTCATACAGTAAGAAGCATTTGGGTAAAGCAGTAAAGCTCAGAGCACAGAGCAGGTCACATGATCACATCTGTGCACATCTGTGGAATCTAGCAAGGTTTAAAACACACGTTTGTTCTGAGCGTTACATCTGAAACAAACGCTAACGTCTGATTGTGGCTGAAGCTTGTAAAAAGCTGTCGCACTCACAGAGTTCATCATATTTGCTGACTGTGGCCACAGGCGGAGAGGATGTGATGATGCTCTGATAAGATGCTCTTCTTCTCGTTTCTGTCTTCCTCATTTTTAGGCTGCTGTGCCCCTCTGCTCATATAAAAACCTCCTGAACGACTGCAGATGGAACCACTCCTTACAGCTAACTGAAGGTCACAGACCTTCCACCTGAGCAGGTAAGTGAAGCTCTTGGTTCACAGTTTAGTCCCAGTTCAGTTTCCTGCATTTCACTGGTTTCTTTCTTCTGTTGCAGTTTCAGGACAAACAAAGCAGTGAAGGTGGAAAAGTTTGACATTTTTAAAAGACTTTTTAAAGGTAAGATATTTTTAAGAGTTTTGACTTAACAGTTTACTGTAATGGTTAACTGTTTACTGCATTAAAACTCATCATAAACGTGTTGTTTTAAACGGTGCAGATGAAGTTGCTGCCGTGCTTCATGCTGGCTGTGCTACTGTCAGCTGGAACCAGTCTGGCTGTGGATGTGAACTGGTTAACTCGTATTATAAAAGCCATAAGGACAGAGTAAGTGAACTTTATTATGTCATTCATCAGTAATCTTCCTGTTTTGTCTTTTTATTGCTTATTTGTGAGGGACTGTGCATAAAACCACTGACCTCAGATGACAAATTTCTTCTGGGGCACAACATTAAATAAGCTGGATATCAGCTGATGAGGCTTTTTCAGGGGCTCACACTGATATCAGTGATTAATAGTAATAAAGAACAACAAAAACTAATATTATAAAAAAAAATAGAAGAAAACAAAACTTTGAGTGAAGTATTTTATATTAAAATCATCTTTCCAAAGGAAACTGTCGCTCATTTCTAATCTGAGAGCTGTTGCAGTCTGGAGTCACATGTGTTTGTACATTTTTATTATTGTTTTTTAAAACACTAAAGTTTTGCTATTATTCTACTTTTTGTGCTCGTGTGCTTCCACGTTCATCTTCATGGTATTGTTCGATAAATAAGAACTGCAGATGAAAATCGGTGACTACATCGAGCACTTCTACACATCACAGTCTCAGAGCAGATTATGAAATAGGTACGACCTCTGACCTATGATTGGCGTTTCTGCACACGCATGTGTTCATGTAGATGAATGAAAAACGTCCACATGTGCAGGTTGGAGGGTGGTGGAGCACATGAGAAGCAGAAGCTGAAGCCATGCATGCTACAGTCTTCACACATTGTTCTTATTTTGAAATGCAGTCATTTGAATGTATTAATTAAAAAATTTACTTTCATTAAAACCTGCTGGGCGAGGTTTAGTAAAAAGCTCATAGTGTCATGGTGCTGGGTCGGTGGCCCAGCGTTTTGTGTTTATCATTATGGTTGTTATCAGTGTTGGGGAGTAACGGAATACATGTACCGCCGTTACGTATTTAAAATACAAAATATGAGTAACTGTATTCCGTTACAGTTACAGTTTAAAAAGGTGGTATTCAGAATACAGTTACTTTGTTGAAATAAATGGATTACACTGCGGTACTTTCCTGTTTCATATTGTCGCGGGTCAGGACTGTTTGGTTTTGTTTGACAGCTACGTTCTGTTGTTCCAGGCGGCAGCGTTACGGTTGCCATGGTTACAGGGCGACGCTCTCTCTCTCTCTGCGACTGTGTGTTTCCTGGGTGAGAGAGCGCCTTTTCGTTGTTGTTGTTGTGCTAAGCTAACAGGCAGAATGCTACAAGCATAGCTCTAAAGAATGTAGCATCATGGGCAGTGTAGTCCGTGTTGCAGGGAGAATGGACTGCCATACACGTTATGGGTCTGTGAGCGCGAGGAGGGAGAAAAAGGGGAGTGGAAAGGTACGAGTTGTCATCGAGGAAAAACGGGAGCTGGAAGCATGTAAATATAATAATAACCACTGCAGCCAAGAAGAGTGCCTGACGAGCCCAGTTGTAAGTAAGCTATTAAGACTCGACTGTACACCGTGTTCGTGTTTTCCTCCGAAAACAATAAGTTCCGTTGGAGCAGCCTTTCAACGCCTCTCTCTGTCAAGAAAAGTTGACCCACACAACAAAGTAAAGCTATTTTTCGGCTACGAGCCGACAGGGACCCCGCCGTATTAGTCAGAGGTCCCTTTACTACAGTTCGGAGTCGCGGACCTTCAGTAATAGTAATAAATCACACAGCAATAGTACATTCACGTTGTTGTAAAAAGCATGATAATATATTAAGTAATCCAAAGTATTCAGAATACGTTACTGTCATTGAGTAACGTAACGGAATACGTTACAGAATACATTTTGGGGCATGTATTCTGTATTCTGTAATGGAATACATTTTAAAAGTAACCTTCCCAACACTGGTCATTATTATTATTATCTGATTTGACTGTTTGATTTCTTCATGGTTGTCTGTATTCGTATGTAGGTTTCATTTTCAGGGTTTGCAGTTCTTAGGTTTTTGTCCTGTGTCCTTCCCCCAGTGCTCTGTTCATGTCCCTGAGTTTGTGCTTGTGAATTTGGGTTGCCTCTTCCTTTTAAGCTCTGCTTTCTTAGTTTTAGCAACACAAATACACTTCCTACTGAAATACATTCCTTCCAGATTTTTGCTTACTGACACAACAAAGGACAAACGTGAACTGGAACACACAGATGCAGTGTGAAATGACCTGCTATCTTTGTTTCTTTTTCTAACAGGTACAGACTAACAGGTCAATTCTGTCTGGCTGCAACCATCCCAGATCAACAGGACCCAAACACCCTTATCAGTGAAGTCCTTCGTGAAGACCACTTTGATGAGCACATGGAAGACTCAGTTAAAGGGGGTGCGGTATATGCTAGCAGCAGGCTGGTTTTAGCTGTTCCCATAGAACATGTACATGCAGAACGCGCAGTTCTGGAAAGCTTGGGCAAACTAAAGAAACAGGGAGAGAACGACTTCCTCCTCATCTACTCTTACCTCTCCCCATGTAGCAAGTGCACAGGCAGTAACAAAAAATTCAACATCCTTAACATGATTAAAAATCAGGTTTACAGATGGCATGATGGGGCCTTTGTGTTTACAAAAGTTTTCAGCCATCCTAAAGATGGTTCCATTGTAACCAGAGATGTTTTACAAACGTCACTGACTGAGCTTTCTGATTCGATGGGTGGTCTCCACTACATATTTCGCTGTGATGGACCGAGCAATTCTGAGTTAGTGTGTCACAGCTGCTCTGTAAATCACAGAGTTTCAGAGTTTTGTATTGATAACAACGCTGAGAGAGAGCGCAGCATCAGCAGGGAAAGAAGCAGGAGCTTCAGTGGAAGCAGTGGAGGGGGCAGTAGCAGGAAGAGAGAGATATACAGGAGTCAGAGTGAGAGCAGCATCAGCAGCGGAAACAGTAGAGAAGCTGGAAAACATGCAGGTGGAGGCAGGAGCAGCAGGAAGAGAAGCAAGTACAGGAGCAGCAGCAGCAGCAGGAGCGTCAGCAGGAACAGAGGTGGAGAGCGTAGGAGCAGTAGCTAGAGGTTAGAGAAGTTCAAACAAACCAACATCGTCCCTGAAGACAAACTTTCTTTATGTCCTTAAATTTCTTTTCAAAAATGATTTAAATTCTGTTCAAACTAAAATGATAAATAAATGTTTTTCTGAGAAAGCTTCAAACCTGCTCCATGTGTCTCGGTTACAAGAACATTTCTGATTAAACTCAGTTTACTCGCGTCAGTCCCACACCTGCCTCATCTACCATCACAGCCTGAAACCTCACAAACACAGAGCGATAAAACATCCTCAACTGTGCAGATGAAATGTGGAGTATTAACTAAGGAGTTAAGTTTTTAATTAAGGAGTATTAGCCACATATCAGCGTTTCCTCCAATGAACGCGCTCACACTGACCCCGCCTCCTGCCACATTAATCCAGTCTGATCGTCTGACAGCAAACACAAAGCATACAGCTCTGCTTACAGTTTACACCCTGCAGGACGGTTCAATACAGCAGAAACATGTCTGTGTGCGCGCTCACATATACACCTGTGTGTGTTCACATACACACCTGTGTGTGCAGACACAGCACGCAGATTTTCCCGGTGTTGATGACCTGTCTCACCGAGTCCGTACTCGTCCCGTACAGATTCTTCTCGAACTCTCCGGACTCGATCAGCTTCCCTGAAACACAAAAACAACTCATTTCACACCAACAGGAGGTTAAAGACCTCCAGACACCCTGAGCCTCACAGGCTGCAGTTTAAATAAAGCACTGACGCCACCTTGTGGTACAAACTGGTATTACATCAGAGCGCCATTTTTCTGCCTCAGCATGTTTGGGACACGCTCGTCACCCTGCTCTCCTCTGATGCAGCTGCACTTCAGGACGTTTAAACACTTCTAACTTTAAATCGAGCACATCTGTATGACGTCATCACGAATATTCTCAGATTTAAACGTCTCACCAGCCGCCAGCTCAGCCTCGAAGGTCTGCCGAGAAACAAAGTGATAGTCCCGACCGCTCTGCTCGCCCTCGCGACGGCTCCGCGTCGTGTCTACGACACACACACACAGTTAGTTTACGTGCGCGCGCACACACACACACACACACACACACACACACACACACCCTTACGAGGCACAGCTCCAGCGAAGCGCTCTGGTTCACTGTTGAGCAGCCGCTGCCTGAGCTGTTCCTGCCCACAGCCGCTTGGACCAATCAAAGCAATCGGCCGCTTCCTATTGGCCGGCTGGTGGTACAGCGCCATCTCCTCATAGGTGAGAATTTCTTCATTATCAAGATCTGGAGCAAAAGACAAGAAAAAGAGACATCTGTAAGTTTGAGTGAGGGTAGAGCAGGAGCTGAGGCTCCGCCTCCTCGCTGCCTGTCAGAGTTTAGGGACAGACTGACGCACCGTCGTTCCTGTGAGGGTTGTACAGCAGCTTCTTCCTCTTCCTCTTGTTTTTCTTCCCACACCAGAGCTTCCCTGCAAACAGACACCACTTCAGTGCACGAGTCACATGACCTCTAACCCCACACGGGTTTTTACAGCAATGAGGTCATAACGTGGGCGGAGCAGGGACCGACCGGACTTCTCGGGCTCGTCTTCTTCTATGGTTTGCTTCATGGCTTCTCTCTGCTGCTGGAAACTCTTCCCTGTGGAGACAGAAGCAGAGAGCTGCACAGCTGACACCAGAACAAACCGAGTTTTCTTCCAAACACGGACGCGTCCCGATGTTGAACAGCTGACCTCAGGGAAAACACGATCATGCCAAACACGAGGAACCGTTTCAGTCCAACGTATGAAAACAAACAGAGGTGAGCCCACACTCGCGTGAGCGCAGCATGTCTCCCTTTGCAGGAGTTCTGGGCATGCTCAAATGGGGGAGACCCCAGGATCTGACATCATCTGGCCAGGATCATCCAGGAACAACTGGAAAAGCACGTCAGCTGGAATTCTGCTGATGCCACGGGCAACCGGAAATAAAGGCGGAGCTTACTGACGCCCTCTGAGGGCAGCTGGACCTTAGGACTGAGGGGGGTAAGAAGGTGGCACTGCACACGAGGTGAAATGTCACTTCCTGTTTGGTGTGGAGCAGAGGGAAGCCACGAGTAACCGTCCCAACGGTCACGTGATCACAGTGGTCACGGAGGTCAAAGGTTGCTGCTAATCTGCTTTCTGTTATCTAAATCAAACGCTCTGAGCGCGCTCACACCGTGCAGCATTCTTCAAACCCTTAAGATAAAAACCTCCGGCCGTCAGACCGCCATACCTGGCACCAGGCCGGCGAGCGGCTGGTTATCCTCGTCTCCGTCCCGGTACGCCTGCCACCAGTTGGGGTCGGACTGGCTGATGATGTGCAGGATATCTCCCTTCTGGAAGGACAAGCCGAGCTCTCTGCACGGCACGTAGGGGTCGTCCGAGGGGTCGTAGTCGAAATGAGCCTTCACGTGGACCTGAGGAGCGGAGCAGAGTCATGGGGTCAGAGGAAGGCTTCCACCCTCATTGCTTCAACGCGTCGGGAACGAGGCGTTCCTCTCATATCGCAACACTCACCACACTCTCTTTGACGGGAGGAGGTTTGCTCTGATTGCTGGGAATCAGCACGAAGGTCAGGAGGCCGTGCATGTCGGCCTGTTTAGACACAAAGACACAAAATCATCTCCAACCACTGACGTGAAAGCGCCTGAGCTCACAGACGACGCTCAGCCGGAGTCCAACCTGCGCTCGTACATGAAACACTCACCAGGATGTCAAACACCTGGTTGACGTCTTTGCCTCGGATCTCGATGCCGTTAATCTCCAGGATTTCGTCTCCTTCAGACAGAAGCCCGCTTCGTTCAGCGGCGCCGCCGCGAACGATCCGACTGATCACCACGCTGTCCATTTCATTCCGCACCGTCGCCCCCTGCAGAGCAAACCATGCATTTCATCACAGCCACGGAGTCCTGGCATCAAACACCAGGATGTTGTTGTCGCTTTGAACAGAGCTCGACTGTTTCCCAGCCCTCAGATTTCACATGTAATTAAAATGGGTCAAATCTGGACTCAAACGTGTGTGTGTGTGTGTGTGTGTGTGTGTGTGTGTGTGTGTGTGTGTGTGTGTGTGTGTGTGTACCAGAGGGATGTCTCGGGCCTTCTCGATGCGAACAATCTTCACGGTCTCTCCTCCCCACTGCGTCAGCATCTCGCCCTCGGCGGGCAGCGGCTCCAGCTGCATCTCCATCTCTGCTATGCTGTCATGGGTCAGAAGCAACGACTGCGCACACGCACACACACAGACTGAGAAATCTGTGTGTGACTGTAAATGTTTAGACATCTTTGAGGGGACATGGAAACGAGTGTAGGTGTGTGTGTACCTGCAGATGTGTGTCTGAGAGCAGGCTGTGCAGCTCCAGGCCTTCTTTATTGTGACACGCCTGCAGGAGGTTCCTGACCTGAAACAGCAGCAGACACCCCCGCTCTGATCACTTCCTGTCACATGTCCAACCGTATGTTTTACATTATTAGAAACTTTGGTCGTGTTTAATGACAAAAACAGACATATTGGTGCTGCAGGGATGCGGGCGCTGCACCCGTCCGTCGTGGTGAAGAGAGAGCGGAGTGTAAAAGCTCTAAATTTACTGGTGGATCTACGTCCCTACCCTCACCTGTGGTCACCAGCTGTGGGTGTGACCAAAAGGACGAGATCGTGGATACAGGCGGCAAAAATGAGATTCCTCTGAAGGGTGGCTGGCCTCTCCCTTAGAGATAGGGTGAGAAGTTTGGCCATCCGGGAGGGGCTCAGAGTAGAGCCGCTGCTCCTCCACATTGAAAGGAGCCAGCTGAGGTGGTTCAGGCATCTGAGAAGGATGCCTCCTGGGTGAGGTGTTCCGGGCGTGTCCCACCGGGTGGTGGACCCGGGGCAGGGACATGACGCGCTGGAGAGATTACATTACTGGGCTGGCCTGGGAACGCCTTGGTGTTCTCCAGGACAAGCTGGAGGAGGTGGCTGGGGAGAGGAAGGTCTGGGCTGCTGCCCCCGCGACACAGCCATAAGAAAATGGACGGACAGACAAAAACACACCCGTGTTTTCCTTCATAGAGGCCTTGCTGTGGTGCTGTTACACGTCTGCTCTGTGTGTGTACTTACTGTACACACACAGAGCTGATTGATCAGCGTTGGGGTGACGTGAGGAAGAACAGAAGAAGAAGAGGAGGAAACTTTGGGTAAGTGCACGAGCAGTGAGTAAGGACTTTAACAGATCAGTTCTCACGCTCATATTTCTGTTGTATTAAAGATCAAAGGCAGATCTCTGACGTGAACAGCGGTGTGCTGCACTGAAACCGTCCTCCTGCACTGCTGCAGCACGTTTCTGCTTTGTTCCTGATGAAGAAACAGCATGTTTGTGAGGACAGTGTGCACGCCAGCTCTTCTTTTCTCTTTGATTCTGGAAGCCAAACGCAGGGCGGGGGCGGAGACGCCAACATGGATGGTGTGCTGCTTTTAATGAGTTGCCTCTGAAACGAGGCCCGAGGAGCGCAAACCCCAGCACCGAGCTTAGCCTCGCTTTCGCAGCACGCAAGAAAACTCCCGAGTGACCTGTTGCTTTGACCAACCACCTGTGTGACTGCAAAGGAAAAGAAAGATCATGAACGATGTTGGTGAATTGAAAATGGTCCTGCAGGAAACAGTGTGTGACCTACTGCAGCTCTACAAACATACTACAGTGAACGTGTCCCCGCTGTGCTGCCCCTTCACAGCAGCTTTGGACAGACAACCACTAACTCAGTTTGATCTGCAGCACAAAGAGGTGAGAAATAACAAAGGATCGACTATTAAAGACCAGCTTTAAGTGTTTAGCTCACATCCAGACTGATGAAGCTAAACTTTCTGCTCCATTACCGCAGGTGTGTTACCTCCATGGCGAGTGGAAGCGCCTGCTGCGTGTTGGGGTACGGCGGAGACGGTCGGTGCATGCTGCTGGCCACGGCATTGTGGATCTTCAGCGCCGACTGGAAGTCCGACTGCAGAGAGAAAAACAAAGACGTCAGCGACTCCGAGCTGTCATTTATTCCCACTCGACGCTGCGCTGAGTCAAAAGCTGATTTAAATCCTCACAAACTGAGTTCACACTCAGCAAAAGCTCCAGTTTTATGACTGAAGTGCTGACCTCTGACTGTTAACCCACCGACAGGTCACTCAGGTGGACGGTGAGTCGCTCAGAGTCAGCATAAAGATGGCCGAGCTTCTGGAGGAAGACCTCTGTATCCTCAGAGCTCGCAACAGTCGATTTCCACATGAACTTTATCATAATAATGAGATTAATGCTGCATCACCACGCATCAGCACTTTTTAAAGAGACGCTCGTTTATCGCCTGCAGGTGAGCTACAGGTGAGACATTTTGCACAGGTAGCAACAGACGCTACAGTAAAGCTACAGGCTGCTCTGCATCAGGTCTGCTTCATGCTGGAAGTCAGGTTATGTCACCAGAAGAGAAAAGAATGATAAAAACCTGTGAAGCAGAGACAGCGTGACTCTGCTCATTAAACGCAGCTCAAACTGCTGCGTAGCTGCAGAGTGACGCTGTGAAAACAAACCCTCGGTTCAGCTCATGACTGTGAGGAAATATGAGTCCAATCAGAGCGCGAGTTTCCTCAAATGATCAGTACAGTTTATTTTAATGAGCTCACAGGAAGTCCTGCACTAATCCGTGTGGCAGAAATAAAACAAACCATCAGCAGAGCAAAAACCACTCAGACGTCTCTATGTGGGCGAATGGCTTCAGGCAGCAGCGAGGCTCTGAAGCACGACTCAGGAGGGTCGACTTTGACTCCAAAGCATCGCAGGAATGCGCTCTTTCATGCATCTGACTGGCTGAAAACAGCCACATGACTCCACACGGCTTTGTGACAAAGATTAATGCTCTGAGCGGATTTTAAAAACCTCACGTCTCCATGTTTCTGCAGCTTTAAGTGCAACAGAGCGGCAGGCAGACGGCGTCACGATGACCACTTTACAGGCCCACTGAAGGATGATTTTGGATTAAAGCTCTGTTAGAAACCAATCACACTGCAGGTGTCACCCTGCTGAGTGACAGCTTTCAAACGCCAGTGCAACCCGAGGCTGACGCTGCGACGGCGAGCCTTTTCCTTCTTCCGGTTTCGTGCACTGAAACGTGCGGTTTGCCAGGTCTGTGTTTGTTTGCTGCTCAGAAAAGCACACAAACACAGTCAGTGCACACCTGCACCATGTGAGAGCGTCTGCAGAGTCACCACCAGCCCGAGGGTCTCTCACCGCGCATCAGGACCGGACCCAGCAGCTAAAAGTTGCCCTGGGTCAGGAGAGAGCCCCGCCTCGAAGTGTCCGGGACCACAAAGCTGCAGCTCAGACAGCAGTGACGAGTCTTTGACCGCAGAGTCTCACAAAGAAGCCACAATTACACAGCGGGCCGAGGCCTCGGTCGCTAATATTACCTTGTTCAGCAGAGCGAGGACCAACTCGATGTCATTGTGACTCTGCTGGTCCGACAGGCTGCCCCGGACCTGCTTCAGCGACAGCAGCAGCTCCTCCAACTCTGCAGAGACAGAGCACACGTGTTCAAAGCAAGCACACACATAGCTGACCTCAGACGAACAGTGTGTCCTCCTGTGTGTGTCAGCGCTGCCGCCCAACAAACAAACTCTTAATTAAGTCGGGTGCTTCACTCCCTCCCTGAGGAATTCCCTCCCTGACTGGCGTCTGACATTCTTGTTCACTTTCGTCCTTTTTCAACTCTCTTTAACTTCATCTCTTTAACTTCCACCTCCTCACCCTTTGACCCCTCAGATCTGCACAGTAATAACTGCTGTGTGTGTGTGTTACCCAGCAGCGCGTGTGTGTGCTGGCTGCTGAGCGCTGGCAGCTGCGGTGTGTCTTGCAGGAATGTGGGGTTGTCGATCCCGCTGTAGGGATTCTGGGAGAGGTTCCTGAGTCTGAGTGAGGCGTTCAGATCCAGCTGCCGACCCTCCTCTTCTCTACGACGCCGAAGGTCCTCCTGACACACAAACACAGAGCAGAGGAAGTTACACAGGAAGCCCTCCATATTCCTCATGCATCAGAGCACACATGGCGTCCTCTGCACCGACCTGTGCACGCTGAGCTGTGATTGGCTCTGTGCTCAAAGCCCACGTGAGTGTGTTATGTAAATGAAACCCACATCAGGTAAAACCTGACGATGCTCAGGACTGAAAAATCAGCCGGAGCAATCCCACGTCCACTCGAGGAAACTAAACCTCGTGTTGGCTGCAGCTCATTCTGAGCCAACACCTCCCCCAACACCTCCCCCACACGCTCAAATCAGCCTGAAAGTTTACCCACAATGCACTTAGTGAAGTTTCCTGCACTAAATTATCAGAGAAGTGTTTGCAGGAACTAACCTGAGCCTCCGAGGGTTCGCTCAGGCGTGCTTTCATCCCACTGTCGTTACACAAAACCTGTCACAGTGAAACATGCACAGCCCCAAACGGAACACCTGACGATAAAGGCCCCACCCACGCAGGTGTCTCTGTGTCGTACCTGATGCTGTCGTATCCTCTCCAGCTGAGCGGAGCGTCGCAGAGGCAGCGTTCGGCTGCCCAGGTCTCCCGGACAGTCCACGGCCATTTCTCGGTGCTGCTGTCCTCCCCTCGCCTCTTCATCTCCTCCTCCCTCTCCAGCAACATGGCCATTCAGATGGGAGGTCGTCATCCCTCGCATGCACGCACGTCTTGTACTGTGTGCGTTTGATTCGATTCCTCAGACGGGCAGTTTCTACGATGGTTATGTTCCTGAGATGTTTAGGAGGGTAAGTCGGTGAAGAAGGCAGCCATGACACCGTCACCTGTGCAGGAAGCAGACACACAAGGTCACCTGGGTTGAAGGAGCAGATGAGGCAGATGAGTCTGCTTAGGGCTGTTCGATATAACGATATATATCGGATATAAAAACGTCTATCGTTTCCTATTACGCTATCGTTTGTTTCATGGAGTCAGAAAATAAACTTTACAGCAATATTTTTTCATGGTTTTGATGGTAGCGGCTTTATTAAAGTTCTCTCTTTCGCTTATATTTAATATAACCACACTACGGACGGACAAGCGCCTGTTTTTACGTGTTGTCATTAGCAACAATGACGGTAAAACTATCACGTGGCTCGGCAGTCCGCTTGTTTTGTTTTCCACGTAAACCTTTCACAATAAAGCTCAAGATCCTGTTGAGACTTTTCAAAATAAACTGAATCACGTGAAAGAGCATGCAGAGAGTTTACGGAGGAGAAGCAAAAAAAAAAAAACCCTGATGTGCTAAAATTTTTTTAAAAAAAATAAAAAATCAACCTTGGACTCAAACTTTGAAAGACAACGGCGGCCGTTACAACTTATGTCTCAAAATGTATCGTTTCATGCATCGGTTAAAACACTCAAATCCAGGTAAAAGACCCACAGCTGGAAAAACTAAACGCAAGTCGAGCTGCCCGAGATTCACAGAATTTACAGAAAATGTTACATTTTTGCGATTTATATCGTTGTCAGAACGATAAATGTCTTATATTGGGATATGGCATTTTTGTCATATCGCACAGCCCTACATCTGCTGACAGTAGGGCTGCCACAATTAGTCAACTAGTCACGATTACATCGACTATTAAAATCGTCGACGACTGATTTAACTGATGTCGTTTGAAGCTTTGTAAGATCCCAAAAGACGCAGGAATAAGTAGTAGGATTTAAGAGTGTAATAACGGACTGAGACAGAAGATGGCAGCACTGCATGTACAAGGATGCCAGCTGCCGTTAAACCCCGAAGAAGAAGAAGCTTTGTCCCAGAATTCATAGCGCAGCCCAGCTCAGTTTCCAACAATGGCGGCAGCTAGTTAGTTTTAATATTACTCTTATTATTCTTTCTGGGTCATAAAATAAACGTTTAACGTATTTTCAGGGAATGTAGCTGAAATATCTGCTCAGTTTATCAAGACACCACATATTTTCAAAAGCGTTTTCGGAGACGTCTGTTACCCACTAGCTCGATAGCTAGCTGGGGGCAAGGCTCACTAGAGCCGTGAGAACACCGGACTCCCGGCAAATCGTTTTCA